GAAACCCAAAAAGAGGGCGGCCAAGAGCAAAAAAGGTGCCGCGTCCGAGGTGGCTGCTGCGGAAGGGAGTGTGGAGGTACCCTCTGCAGGAGCCAAGAAATCTGCGAAGAATAAGGGGAAATCGAAGGCAAAAGAGGTGGCCACGGTGAGTGTAACTGAGTAATAGCTTGCGAGTGACAAACTGATGGTCCTAGACTGCGAGCTCAAACGATGTTGGAACGCCGCCAATCGCACCTGATGCCACTTCATCTAACCCAGACACCGGCATAGCTGCCAGTTCGTCCAACCCTAGCGCAGGCGGCAACCTCGAAGCCGGCTCGTCCAATCCGCTCGCTCCGAACCAAACACCAGCACCCAAATCATCCCGACCTAAACCTCGGCATAGTACTACTCCCGCACCGATGCCTGTTGCAATGGGTGCTTCGGGTGCACTGCTACAGACCACGGGGCGCAAGTCTTCCGATCGTATGTATTCCCTCCTTTGGATGACGCGCAATTAACTGGTGATCAGGACCCCTTTCCGAGACGCTACGACTTGCACTCGGCGGAACAGGTACTCCGCCTCCACGCATGGGTCTTTCTCGGCGTGGCTCGAGTAAGATCGCGCCTCTGTTAGCTTTTCGAGGCGCCCCTCCGCCGCCGCCACCACCAATGCCCAAGAAGCCCGTGCGTAAAAAGAAAGGCCAGAGTGATGACGAGGACAGCGAAGAAGGTTCAGAGTGGGAAAAACTAACAGAGAAGCAGAAGGAGAAGAAACGGAGGGAAAAGGAGGTCGCCGGATGGTACAGCGATTAATGGGTACATAGTGAACTACCGTGCACAAGTTCTGGTGGGCTGAGTTGATCCCCATACTTTACACGGCCGATCCATGCATGTTTGGTATTGAAATCGATTCAAGATTGTTATAGTAAATTATTATGTTCACTGTACAATTCCAATGTAATCTATTCGCATGTCACGTTTCATATTGCTCAATCGTCACACCCGTTTCCCTAGGCTGAAATTTCATTATTTTGTGTCTGCCTCCAAGTCGCCCCATGTTGCTGTGGCAGCCACCTCGTCCGTATTCCACTCCCCCCATCCTGAGCCACCCCAACTGAACCCAGCTTCTGGTGCAACTTCCTCGCCCCTATCGCTAGTGCTACCCCAGTCGCCTGGCGGGGTGCCCCCGTCGCTCGCGTATTCCACCTCAATGTCACTCTCAACCCCCGGACGATGTCCTTCGCTTGAACATTCTTCGTCCTCAACTGGTCGCTGTTGAAAGCCAGACCATACGACTACTCGATCCCAACGCGGTTCCGTGTAATGATTCGGATTACGAGGGGGTAGGATTGACCATTGCCCGATCGTATCTTCGGAATCAACGTGTTCGTCGCCCCCAGTGCGATGTTCTTCCGATGGCAGCGCATATATGTTCCCTGTGTCGCCTTTGGGTATGTCCTTTTCCATTAGCGCATCGACTAGCGCAGCGACAGACCCTCCACACGGCATCGCGAGCTCACTCCACAACTCCCCAAAGGTAAGCCCCCCCTCGCCCCGCATCTGCATCAAATATACCAACGCACTTCTAATCGCCCGAGGAGATTGAGGATGGCCAGCACGCGGGTCGACATCAAAGGATCGCCGTGCGGCAAGTTTGTGAGGCGGACCCGGGCTAGGGGACCATGACCCAGAAATGGACATGCTCTCTATTCGCAGAGACTCGACTTCTAGCTCGCGACGGACAAACACTGCGGTTTGGGATGCATACCCAAGCTCGCGACCGAATGGATCTGGTTCCGTAGGAACGCCAACTCCATCCAAGGTGACATCGTACCCATGCAAGTCGGCGGCCTCTCGACACCACTCGGTAAACTCGGGGACTGTCCACTCGCGTTTGTGGTCGGAATGTCGAAAGACGCGGGTGGTATTCCCTGTTGGATCTAGGAATCCTTTGCGCGGGACGCCAGGTGGGTGGAAACGAGCGTTGAAAGTAAAGTTGGGTGTGGTGAGGATTAGGAGGCGTGGGCGGTACTGCCCCAGGAGGACATAGGAAAAGGCAGGGAGAATTGATTCGGGGACGTGCTCAATTCTGATCTGAGGTCAAGATGATTGAATATTTAATCCGAAACAACTCACACTTCGGTCGACACAATTGCGTCAAACCCATAAAACTCGGGATTCAATATCTCCAGTCCCCCTTGCCACACGCTAGCCTCCATGGGTGCCCAGCGTATGTACCACCCGTCTTCCCCTGAGCCCCAAGGCGCGAGATAGTGAGGCTCGCGTTCGGTCGTCGCAACGTGTGCGGCATCGTCGATGACTTGGGGGTCAACATCGAGTGCCGCAACGCGTTCGAGGAATAGATCACGGATAGGCGTTGAGAGGTGACTGTCTGGTATGTCATTTGGAATGCTTGATGCAGAGCCACACAGGGCGCTGAGCAGTGAGCCTTCGCCACATCCAATGTCCAGAACCTAGCCACATTACAATAAACTATAACAATATCGACGGGTGATACATACCGAGCGAGCGTTGTTCAGACGAAGGGTTTCCATGATCCATCGTTGTCGCTCATGGGACAAAGGCGGTATGAACCTCACTGGGAGATCTTGCAGAGTGCTGCCGTCGGGGCTTTCGACATCCGAACTCATCAAGGTGTGGTCAGGTGCAACAAGGACAATCGCAGCATCAGTTCTTCGTATTCTAGTACGTAAACAATCAACAAAGACATTCCACAAAGACATTCCACAAACAAAAAACGCCATCAGGAGAATTACGCCCGTTCCTTTGAAGGTACAAGGTAAGGTGCCGAACGAGCGATATCATAGCACGCAAACCCAAGAGCCTGCGGCCAATCATCTCGTTGCTGAAAGTCTCATCACGCAGCGTTTTTGATTGTGGAAGAATCAACTTGCAAAAATTTGGTTCCGGCCATTTTATCCTCAAATCGGCACAGCCACCTCGGCGTGCCGCCGGCAGACATATTGCCCACAAATTCAGTAATTCAATGTCAATCGTATAATAATAAATGGGAAGCCCGGCACGCGATTGTACCTGCAGAGTCTATGGCGCAACCGTTGACGCAACACCCGCCGAATAAATGATTAAGTATGGAGGCGGAGGGTATACTGTATCAATAGACAACAGAGCAATGCAACATGCTGCTCGATGGATGGGAAAGCGATGAGAATGCAAAAATATCTAGTCTGGAGTTGGATGAGTGGTGGGAGTCTGGAAACACTTGGGATTAATAAACCGGCAACACGACGAGATACCCACTCACTAGTTGCGCAACTGTGACTATCGTCTTGGCGGAGCGAGCGAACACATCATCAAGGCTTGTGCCAACTCTGGTTTCCACGCAACCCTTCGTACCGCCTCGGTGAAATCCACCCACTCGCGTCGCCTTTCCGCCGCCTCATCCCAGCTATCGGCCAGTGCGACCACGTCTAGCTCAAAAAAGTGATAGTTGGCAGTCGTTCCACCAATCGTCGTCACAGAGCGTGTGACTTTGCCTTGCACGCCAGCTAAAGGTGGAAAAGGCGAGGAGAGAGTAAGAAGGCGACGAACGCGGACGCGGGGCGCGAGAGCGAGTGACCTTCTTCAAACGCCTCCCGACATGCAGCGGCCTCCAAGGTGGGGTCTGTTGGCTCCCAGCCGCCTTTGGGCACTGTAGGGTGGAGGGCGTGAGTTGGTGTGGATGGAGCCTTTAGATGCTGAAAATGCTACTCACAGACCCACTGGTGAGGTCGTTTCCGACTCGTAACAAGAAGGACTTTCCCAGCGACACGTGCGATAGGAATTGCACAACAAACAGTGCGGGGACGTGCGGCATCTGCTCGACCCATGTTCAAAACGTCTGGGGATGAAAAAAGCACGTTGGTGGGGGAGGGGGGGGCAAGTTGATTAGCTGTCACGACGACAGTGGCGTACAGAATAAAAACACACTCTGTGTTGTAGGGGACCGAAGCAGCGTCTAGTGCTTGTCAGGTACGTAAGCAAGTGGTAGAGCGACTGTGGTGGGGCTTGCGAAACAAGCGGATCGGGAGGTGGCGGAATCTATGCCAGAGGCCAAGCGACGAGGTAGGAGGGCAGACGAGGGCAATCGCTAATTTTAATAGGTTAGACTGGTCGGGATGTTGTGGAAAGCATGGCCAAGGTCAGGTAGACGCAGGATTATTTTCTATGACCGTGGCACGAGTGCCCCCACAAACTCGCACGTGCGTTAACCACACAACAGCACAGCATTGTAAAGTCAAATTCATCATAGGAGTGCAAGCTCCATCTTTTTGCGGGCGCATACATGTGAGCAAAACCAGCCATAATTAGTCGTCATAAACTCTGGAACCAAACCTGGCCAGTGTTTAATCTATAGCCCGGGATTCAACAACCCCCTCCAAATGATATGATCCAGGTGGAATCTCCCTGCTCACACCTCGAAATGTAAAGTATCTCGCATCAATAGTGTGCGAGACGAAGAACACCGAACCCCTATACAATCGGGCTGCATTCGCCGAGTGACCCCTTGCGTGCGAGGAGTGGCCACGACATGGAAACGACGTGAAGGGCACGACGAAACGAGCAAAGCCAGTGTTAACTTGCCAACAGAACATGGCGCTTCGCGGCGATAAATGGCTATACGGGCTGCGGCCTGAACCATCAAGCAGGCGCCAGACCTTCCGAGATTTGGGACGAGGGTCCACACTGCCGCTCTTGTTCAAGAGAGCTAGCGTGAGAGCAGCTGGGGGCTGTTGGGTGAGGACGTAGTGGTCGATTATATTGTAATTAACCATACAAGCCCGACTCGTGCAACGTCAAGCACTGAGCAAGACATTTACGAACGTGCGTAGGGACTTCTGCAAACGCGCTACTTCATGGGCTTAATAACCGCACCTGGTGGGCAGGAGGTTCGCGTTGTGTGGGGGTAACATACACGTGGCGGTCTCCTGACTTTATGTACATAGCTCTCCAGCTTCTTCTCGGGGCGCCTGGCAGTAAAAATATGCGCGTTAAAAACGAGGGACAGACGCGATTCGAACGCGCGACCTATCGATGATTTATTATGCAATATAGCTGCAATCGATTGCTCAACCACTGAGCTTCTATCCCTTGTTCGACGGCCGAAAAATAAGAGTTATTGCCGTTAAGCGCCTGAACTCGCCGGTCGCTCGATTTTTGGTAGCGTTGTGGGATGTAGCAGTCTTAAATTTTTTTTTACATATCGTAGGTACCGGTAAGTAGTCTACTGAGTGGGTAGCCCACCCGCGGGACACGATGGGCGGAACAACTTCCACCATGTTGGCACGTGACATGATGCCGCAAGCGCGCTTCCTGACTTTGCATCCTTCAGCTACCACTATCATGTCGGAAAACACCACAGAGGCCGAGACCAAACCCGCCGCGCCCCTTAAGCCGGCACGAAAGCAAGTCAAACCTGGCGAAGTAGAAAAGAAGGAGACTCCACAGACTGGCAAGGAGTACAGTGAGTATGGCTACGACTGCCACGAGACTCTCGCTCACGTCAAACATAGATATCTGGTACAACAAGTGGGCTGGAGGAGACAGGGAAGATAGTTATTCCAAGTGTGTATAGGCTTTGTTTGCTCTAGCCGCATGCTAATCACCCGGCTAGTAAAGTCAAATCCCAGACTAGGTGCAACATTAAACGAGATGCGGGCTACACGAGAGCCAACACTACGGGGGTCAAATATTGTTGCTTGTTCTTTGCCCGAGGCTGCTGTCCATATGGGTGAGTAGTATAACACCTATATCCACGCCTCTACTAAAGACATCGTGATAGCTATGAATGTGAATTTCTCCATAACTTACCACTACCTGCCGCTTCGATGGAGGATTCGTCAAAAGACTGCTTTGCTCGAGACAAGTTCTCAGACTACCGAGACGACATGGGTGGTGTGGGCTCCTTTACGCGCCAAAATCGAACATTGTACATTGGACGAATCAAGGAGACCGGGCCGGGCAGCGAGACGGAGGAAATCGTAAGACGACATTTCAAGATGTGGGGGGAGATTGTGTTCCGTACGCCGCTCTGCGCTGTCTACTCGATTTTTAGCTAACTCTTGGTTCTAGTGCGTGTGCTCCAGTATCGTAGTGTCGCGTTTGTGACATATGCAGATGAAGCGAACGCTCAGTTTGCAAAAGAGGCCATGGCTTGTCAAAGCTTGGACAACGATGAAATTTTAAACGTTCGGTATGTGGTCGCTCTGCTCGGTGGAAGTCTAGTGTCTGACCCGACTCGACAGGTGGGCGACAGAGGACCCCAATCCGACTTCTAAAATCGCAGAGAAGCGTCGTTTGGAGGAGATTGGGAGCGTCGCGATTGCGAACAAACTCGACCCACGAATGGTGGATGCTGTTCGCCACATTCGAGCACTAGAGGATGAGGAAGCGGTGCCCGAGCCTCCTTCCCCACCAGAAAAACGTCAACGTTTGGCCGAGCCGGAACCAGAGCCAGAACCAGAAGAGCCGCCACAGACTGGCCTGTTGAGCGCGCAAACTTTGGAGGGTCTCAAGTATCTGGCGGAGATGCGACGACGACAAGAGGCTGCAGTTCAGTCCAAGATCGCGTCGAATGCAGCCCCTCCACGTCCGGCTGCGGTTGGTTTGGGAGGATTAGGCGGTTATGGGAGCGATGAGGACGACTAAAATCTACTATCTTATTGTTTTGTAGAACTAGCTACGTTTGTAATGCTGTCGTGAGCGGCACACGGCTGAATATGTAAGCGCCACGAGGACAGCCACAGTGGACTCGGCCATGGCCCAACAGCCGATCAATATCGATTGGCCTTCCAGTGTCTCCCCCGCAGGACTGAAAGAACGAGTCTCGACTCTCCCTATTTTTGGCTGATCCACGCTGTCCGCTCGTGAATTGTGCATCGGACGTGGGCAGGGCTTGGGCGTTTAACTGCAACGACCATTCACAGCCAAATTGCTAATATATGGCCTACCCGACATACCCTTTACCAAGCCTCATCGGATCTTCCGAAATAAAGGGCCTCAGCACCGCTATATTGAACGCCCTGGCCTGACGCAGTGCCATACGGTGCTGGCCGGATGTAAAAGGCCATAAATTGCTTGGCACAAAGCAGTGCGAGCGAACACCAGGGACAGCTATTCTTGTTGGCAGAGGCGCGCACTGCCAAGTACGTTAGCGGAAAAAAAAAAGGCACCGACAGGCCACACTGCCACTTCAGGACCCAGGCTGGCTTCAAAAGGGTGTCGCTTGGCTCGCAGACAGGCACCCCTTCCTTCCCTTCACTCCTCGCTCCATGATATTCGCGTCTGTATTTGCTGCAGCCCTGTGGACGGCGTCCCTAGCTGCGCCCACGATTAATGACCAGCCAGACCTCGGAGGTCTGGCGCGACGCGACGCGGAACCCGGTTCACTCGTCCTCATCGTCAAGGCCCAAGACGATCTCACGGACCCCGACGACTTGACCGTATCTGCGTGCCTCTTGAACACTGGCAATAAAACGCTCAAGATTCTCAATGATCCTAATGGTGAGTCGGTGCCGTTCTTACGTGCCACGAATGAGCTAAGCCATCTCCAGGCCCGCTGAGCACGTGGAAGACCCACTCGTTTGACTTTTATGAAGTCCCGAGCCCAGGTTCGAGCTCGTTGAAGGCGAGGTCCGGTGGCTCTGTGGCAGATGTAAACGCAGTACGCGTCAAGGTAGGCGTGGTCACCGTTTCAGTCTGCCAGATGACTTACCTCGACCCAGTACAACCCAGCTTACGCGGCTTCTCTGGAGGATCCAAACGCGTATACTGTCCTTCAACCCGGCGAGAACAAGACCGTGCTCCATGATCGTACGTCGTTTGCCCCTTGCCTTTATATTTTTACCCATTTCTGCTGCTCTAGTTTCGGGGATGTACTCTTTCCATACCGCAGGTGCCTACGCCGTCAGGCTCACCTCCACCGCCGAGTACTTTCACATAATCAAAGACGACAACTCGATCGGCTA